GCAGTGTTCTCTGGAAAGCTAAATTGAGGAAACAAGGTGCTGAAGGGGTGGGTGCACAGCTCCTCACCAGTGCAGCCCAGCTGGTCCTGACCAGGGTGATGGGAAACGCTCCCATCAGGGCATGCTTTAATAACACACAGAGACAGGAGGATCAATTCCAGCATTGGGAAGCTTCAAATGCTGATCAAGAAACTTGTGTGTAGAGGAATTCAGGTAGGAAGATGCGGAACTTAGTTCTGATGATGGTTTAGCACAATGAATTCCCTCCTTATGTGAGGAAAGTGCTGTAAGGCTGTCTCAGGATCCCCACCACGCATGGCCCAGCCAGACCCAGGCTCCTGGCTGCCTCCAGGCAGAGGGTGTGTGTAAAACAGGGCTGGGCCAGCTGGTTGGGAAGGGATATGCAGCAAATCCATGAATGCTGGAAGCAGGTTTATCACCTCTTTCACTATTTTCCCAACTATATATCTGTTTCCTTCTTTCCTTTTACCCGAGCCTTGTCACATCACCACTGAGGGGAACAGCAGCGTGGGCACCCAATTCTCAATCCTGAAGGGCAGCAGCAACACTTGTACTAAAAAAAGTGTTGGATTCATCATTAGCACCACTCATTGAGCTCTACTGGTTCCTCTTGCAAAATCCTGGCCTGACTTTTAAATCACTGTTTCTCTTTGCTCAAAAGATGATCTAAAAGAGGAAGTAACAATTTCATGTTCACCACTTCTGCTTGTTTCCAAAATAAAAGATCTTTAAATAAGTCCTGTGGTGAAATTGTGCGCTTTCCTTTTGTAATAACCTGCTCATTTGACAAGGACTCATCCCTGTGTGCCAGTCTCCTAATGTGTAACACTGGTCTGAAGACACACTGGCACTGCTGACATGCAAGAACTTCCTGGAGCCCTATCTTACTGTGGAATGTGCACTCAAACTCCAACTAAATCTCTTCTCTTGGGAAAAGAGTTAGAGTTTAAAGGATAATTCAGAAAGAAGTAATCTTCACTGAGAAACCTCAAGCTTTCTAAATAAAGAACAGCCCTTGCCTAACCACTCTGTATTTGTAAATCTCCTTGCCTTTATTTCAGCATTAATTAGAATACAAAATATGGCACAAAATCAATCTCTAATAGGATTCCTAATTCTTCACCTTTGCTTATGTCTGATCCAAAAGTTATGGTAAGCTGTCTCGAGATCACTGGGCTTTCAATTAATCCTTTGACTCATACTCCATCTTGTTCACACAAACAATACTAGGTTTGTGCATAAGATTGATCCTGAATGTCATTTTCCTCTCTGCCTTCTAGATGTTTAATATTTTCAGGATGAGAAAGAGTAGAAACACTTGGGTAAGGGACACTCCAGAAGGTATAAACCAAGCATGCAGACTGCATTTCAGGTGCCCAAAGGCAAATCTATCCCAGCACTGCTGGTGGGATGCCTTGGGGCTGAGCACAGCCCTGGCAAGCCTGGAGGGCTGAGCACAGCCCTTCTGCCCACGGGACAGGGTTCGTGCCCCAGCACAAGCAATGCTGGGGAGAGCCTGGACCCCCCTTAGCAGCCCTCCCAGTAACTCTGTGCCTCGTATTTGTCCTGATTATGTCAGGAAAAGAGCAAAAGCACAATCACCTCTAATCCCAAAGCCCTTCTTGCTATAGCATGGCTCCCGTGCAATTGTTCTCAGCTTGAATGCCGCTTCCGCCCATTTGCACGGGCTGTAAAGCCCCCTCAGCATCCCCCCAGAATAATGTAATTAATACATAGCTGGAGCAGAAATAGGTGGAATTACATGAATGGTCATTTGTTAGAGTTACTTTGCTGCAAGAACATTGTGCTTTGGAGTTCAAAGGAATCCAGACTTTTGCAGCAAGGATTTAACTTACAAGTAGCGATTTCCTTTACTTACCATCCCAAGTAAAACATCATGCTGATGTGTGTTTCCTTTTAAGAAACAGACCCTTTCATTTCTGAGAGTTTAATTCTCAGTGTTGTGACATTAACAGCCATCAGACAGCACGATGTGCTGAAGCTGATGGGGTCCTCAGGCCCCCAGCAGCTGTGCCAGGCAAGGTACCAGTAAGTCAAGTGAGCAGACCTGTGAGCACCTTGCACCCACGGTCTCATTCAAGGTAGTCTGTGCAACAGACGTTTGGGATCAGGGAACAGAGTAATTAAAATGGAGGTTCTTGCCAGTAACCAGGATAAAAGCTAATAGCTGGGGTAAGGAAAAGGAACAAACAGACAAAGGTGACATACCAGCACTGGAAATGCCTGTAAGCAGAAAAGTCCAGTTGCTGTGTGATTATTAGGCATGCATTTCCCCAGAGAAATAATTGCCTTGGATTAAGTGATTTGTAGGAATCGGTTGCTGGGTTACAGGTAGCAAGGAAAGGTGGGGTGAGGGCTGCAGAGGTAAAACAAGCCTTGCAGCAGTTTCCCTTCTCAGCCCCAAGACTGGGCAGCTGCACTGGCCCCGTCGGTGCCTCCCGGCCGGCACAAGCCATCTATCGGAGGAAACTCGGAGTTCCGTGCTCTGGGCAAGTGGCAAGGGTGGGGCTTTCCTGTGCTTGAGGGCTAAGATAACTGGCATTTCTCACCCCTTTCTTAATTGTTCTTCTTTGCCGTTTTCTATATAATCATGATTATCATCATAAATACAGATGTTATTCTGTTTCAGTCTGTGTTCTGGGTTTCTTCCTGTTCACCTCTGAGACATCTCTGTCTCTGTGGATGCTTCTTTTGCACATTCTCCCCTCCCTGACACCAGGGACTCTTCTGAGTGATTGTAAGCAGCCTCAGTTTGACAGACTGCACAGCCCCAGTCACACATTCCTCCTGGACTTGCACACTGGAATTTGCAGTTTTGAATAACTGCAGTAAACTGTATGTATTTCATATACAGCTAGAAGAGGAGATAAATCCTCTGAACTCCGTTTGCCAGGCAGTCTTTGTTAGGAAGACATTTTCCATGCTAGAAATGTTTACAGCTCCTCATGCAGAGATAATCAATGGAAGGCTGCAGCTGTCATGGTTCTGCATGTCCTACACCACAGTCCACAAAGCTGCTGATGGTTCTTTTGTTTCCTTTCTTTGGGTGTCTTGTGGCTAAAAGTTTGTCTTCTGGTTGGGAAAAAAAAAGAAGTGGAAGGCCATACGCAGTGTACTGTGACCTTGTTGTCATCCTCCTGTTACTATGCCAGGGGCTTCTGCAGAAAGTCACCACTCAGGATGTACTCAGGGCACTGCTCCGTGTCACCTCAGCAGTCACATCCTCAGCTGGCAATCCATGTGACTCCTGTAACCTTGGCTTATCCTTTCTTCTGCCGCTTCTGCTTCGCACGGGGACTTTTCCATTCACGCTGCACTCATATCAGTCTCAAGATTTCCATCACAAACCTCTGCATGCCACAATACATGCTGTAAGTTACTGTGCAACAGAGAAAACCACTTATGTAGGGGCAGGAAACGTGTTATTTGCAAACTCTGCAATCTCCTCTACGCTAGAAGGGTACTTTGGGCTAACTGAAACTAAATCCACCAAAAGCCAAACCAATTCAAAAGTCAGTGTGAACATAACTTTCGGTTTTGTCCAAAACATTTAAAACTTACTGCAATCAAAACAAGCCTTTCTCAGGACACCCAGTGGAAAGCACTGGGGCACAGTGAGTGAACATCTGTGAGTGCTGTGAGGCAGCTGTGGAGCGGGTTCTGTTTCTGCTGCACTAACACAGCAGCAGTGTTACATTCACAGGCAAACATCGCTGCCAGCCCGGGGGGCTGTGAGCTGCTGTTGACTGCAGGGAGCAATCCAAAACACCAGTGGTCCATGAAGAGACTGTAGCAATTAACAATGTCTGCATGGCCCCACGATGAAACCTCTTACAAATACACCCTTTTTGATATGGGCACATAACTCACCGACATACCATAAAGATTCCAGCGTCTCCAGCTATTAAAAGAGTAAAGTCAAGTTTGGAATCTTTGTGGTGACATATTTAAATGGTATGCTTTGCTCTTGGCTCCAATATCAGAAAAAAAAAACAGTTTCACACCTGGTGTAAGCTAAGAGCAATTATTCTTCAGGGACCAAACTGAGAATCTGTCTGCTGGTACTGACAGGTGACATGCAGATCCCATATTCAAAGCTCTTCCATTTTCAGGGTGGTTCCTAAGCACTGTAGGTGAATATTTTATTCTGGAAGAGCAACATTAGAAATATCAGCAAACGTGTAGGCAAATGCCACAGTATTTTATTTATCTAAGTCTCACTTAAGTAGAGAATATGAGACTAATTAGTTAAAAAATGTATTTTGAAGGTATTTTTCCTGTCAGAATTAGTGGGGCTTGTCTGTCTTCCACTATAGACCTATGATAGTATCATGGTTGTGGGTTCAATCCCTGTATGGGCTATTCACTTAAGAGCTGGACTCGATGATCCTTGTGGGTTCCTTCCAACTCAGAATAATCTGTGAAATCTGTTTGGTGATGCTTTTTCAACTTTTGCCTGTCACAGTGTGCAGGAGAAAGCTGTGCAGGTCAGTCAGTACACTTGGTGTTCTGGGAAATGATCAATTAGACTCTGATAACCAGGACTTCCACTGCTGGGTGCCTGCGCTGGGGAAAAACCTCTCCGAAGGTCTGGCTGCGGACTTTATCAGTAAATAGGAAATACGCAGATAACGGCACTGAAAGGAATTCGAGCAGATGAACTCCGTGAAGGGATGCCTGCAGCCCCACGCGTAACTGGGAGCGGGCAGCGTCCCTGCGAGCTCCTCCCGGAGCAGGGGGCCGGGGCGAGCAGAGGGACGAGTTCCCGGCTGCGGCGGGACCCCCCGGGCAGGAGGGAGCTCCGCAGCCCCCCCGGCCCCGGGAGTGCCCCGGGGCGGGCGGTGCTGCCCGGCAGGGCAGGGCAGGGCCGGGCCGGGGGCGGAGGGCGGGCGCCCCGCGGCCCCTCAAATAGCGCTGCCCGCGGCCGCGGCGCTCAGAGCCCGCTCGGCAGCGCCCGCGGAGCGCAGCGCAGCCGCTCCCGTCCTTCCTGCCGAGCCCCCGGGGCAGCGCTGGCAGCACCATGACTTCGGCGGCGCTGGAGATTCTGGGGCTGGGGCTGGGCATCCTGGGCTGGGTGGGGGTGATCCTGGCCTGCGGGCTGCCCATGTGGCAGGTGTCGGCCTTCATCGACGTGAACATCGTGGTGGCGCAGACCATCTGGGAAGGGCTGTGGATGAACTGCGTGGTGCAGAGCACGGGGCAGATGCAGTGCAAGGTGTACGACTCCATCCTGGCGCTGCCGGCCGAGGTGCAGGCGGGCCGGGCGCTCACCGTCATCGTGGCGCTGCTGGGGCTGGTGGCACTGATGGTGACCGTGGTGGGCGCGCAGTGCACCAACTGCATCCGGCCCGGCAAGATGAAGTCCCGCATCGTGATCGCCGGCGGAGCCATCTACATCCTCTGCGGGGTCCTGGTGCTCGTCCCGCTCTGCTGGTTCGCCAACATCGTCATCAGCGACTTCTACGACCCCACGGTGCCGCCGTCCCAGAAGCGGGAGATGGGGGCCGCGCTCTACATCGGCTGGGCGGCCACGGCGCTGCTGCTCTTCGGGGGCTGCCTCATCTGCTGCTGCTCCTGCTCCCAGCGCGACGAGACCTCCTTCCCCGTCAAGTACTCGGCGCCGCGGCGGCCCACGTCCAACGGCGAGTACGACAAGAAGAACTACGTCTGAGCGGGGCCGGCCCGCTCTCGGCCCCGCGGGGCACGGACACACGGCCGCGGGCCGGCAGCGCCAGCGCTCCCCTGCCTGGAGGCTCTTCCCGACGGGGACCCCCGTGAAGCGGCGGCCCCGGGCAGGGCAGCGCCCGGCGGGTCCGGCCGCTCCGCTGCGGGCAGCGCGTCCCCGGCCCGGGGAGCCGAGCGGTCCGGGGAGCCGAGCGGGCATCACCGGGACGCCCCGCGCGGCTCCCGCTCCCAGCCCTGCCTCGGCGATGCCCCACACTCGTGAGTATTTCACCGCCCGCTCTCGCTGCCCGTGCCTCTCGGCTGCCGGGACCGGCATCGGGTGTGCGCGGTCGTCCAGCAGGAGCTTCCCATCGGCGTTCTCCCTCCTGAAAGCCTGGCAGTTCCCGGTGGGACTTTAACCGAGTAGGGGGGTTTCGATCTTCTGTTTGGGCAACTAAACTAGGGATCCTGTCCAAAGCTTGTCACTAACCTTGATCCTTAATCACATAGGCTGTTTGGAGAAAGGTATTTGACTCTCTGCATTTGTTTCAGTCCCTCGGAGAAGTACAGTGGTCTGTGTGTCTTTGAGACCTTGAGCTTTCAGGTAGTTGCTGTCCTTTAGTGGAATACAGAGCAGATTACACCAGGTTGCCCTTGAGGTTCTTCATCCCCTCTCCTCCATCAGCTTATGTTCTGTTTTTACTTGAATATGAACTCATTGCCAGAATTATCCGAGGCCTAGAATCAGAGCTCTGGGATATCACCGTATGTCCTGGCTCGAGCAGGGTCTCTGCTCCTCTCATCCGCACTACAGGAGACTGGAAGCACAAAAGTTGCCCCAGATACTGATGGTTGGGAGGGATGATGCTTTTGTGGCCTTCCTGCCAAGCCCCGCTTGCTGCCAATTCTGAATTGTGTGCTCAGTTGGACGTGCACTTGGTTGGCTCCCCACCATGATTTTGTTAACACGTGCTTTCCTGCATTTACCAAATCAAGCAAAAAATTGCTAGAAGAATTTTACCAAAAATATCTTGACTGAGACTTTGTCAGCTGATCAGGAGATGTGAAGTGCTGGCTCTCACAGCTCTGCACTCCTGTGCATTGCCTGGTAATGCTCTGCAGACTGGAAGGAAGATGCATTGGGTAACATTACTCCTGATTTTCTGAGCTCAACAGCTGCTGAAATTCACCACAGCCTGGAATACCAGCTTACTCTTTTCCATTTTACGCTGCAGAGACAAACGTTTTTCAAGGGAGGGGTTAGGGGGATGTGTGATACTCCTCCACACGAGTTACTTTAGATCAACACAGGATCCTGCTACCGCCCGTGGCAGCATCTGCATTGCCATAAGGAGATTTCTGCCAAGAGTCAGCGAGGAAATGTGCTGTTTATGTTCCTCAGAACACAACACTACAACCTCACGGGTCCCTCACAGTCCTGTAGCAGTACAGTGCACACCTGACCTGAGCATTAACTCTTATCTTTCTGATATCTCCAAGACTTGTGGACTAACCATAACTGTGGGGCTGCGACAGATTTACATGGACTGTGTTCCTGCCTTGCTTAGCAAACTTAAAACCCCAGGGGTATCAACATGTTCACAGACCAGAATGAGAGACTAAAGCCTTGCCCCTGCAAATTGTGATGTTGAATATTGAGCACAATTTACCCTTTTAAAGATAACTGCTTTCAGTTTTTAAACACATAAATAGCAGGGTCTGAGCCCATCAGAGAATACAAAAGCAGAGCAATACATCTACAATTAGTTTTTTTCTATAAAGAGGTGCGGTTTTTATACTGTCTGCATTTAAATAAAAGCCGTAATATTTTTGTTATGATGTGATATGTAGTTTTGGTACAAGAATGAAATAATCCATATTTCATCATTGCAACTTTTTTAAACAGTGTAACCTTGTAAACCTTGTAAAAATGTATTTAAATGCATATATTTTGCAAGAAATCTACCAAAGTTGGCTTGCTGTGTGGTTTGGTGCCTTTATTTGTTTCATGATTACTTTGTTTTTACTTTAAATGCTAACGTCCAGCTGTATTTGTCACCCAGCCCACAGACACACTGCACCCTCGCTCAGAGCTCTCTGATGTCTAGCAGACATCAGCCCAAGTCCTGGACCTCCCTCTGGTCTCCAGTTAAAGAACTGAACCCCACTGACAGACATGTGTGCATGTCTCTGTAGAGCAGAGCCTTCAGAAGTGCTGCAGAGTTTGGGGTCTGTCCAAAAGATTAGATCTTTCTGGACAGTGCAGCACTAGAATTTCAAATCAGATCAAAACCGGTGTCTTTGGTAGAGGGAGGGAAACCCACACCTTCGAAGGGAATTTTCTTCAACAAGCCAAACTTCTTGATACGTGGCTTTGTGTCACAGCAGAGCTGGGTCCTCTTAGAACCCAAATCTGAACCAATTACCCAAGAGCTCTTGGAAGAAGCCAGTGCTGCCTGTGCATGTGCCACCAGGCACAGCGTCACCCTGCCAAAACAACTCACTGCTGCTGTAACGAGGTTTTGCTGAGGTCAGTGGGGCAGCGCCCAACAATACTTGCAGGAAGTGGGGCCCATTTTTAAAAATGTTTTTATATTTAATCTCATCCTTCTTAGTTGTTGCTGTGCTTTACAAGATAACCCAGATGTTACTGTTACTGATATCTCTAGCTCAGAGTAAAAGTCAGCTGGTTTTCCCTGTGATTTGTTTTCTAAGAGCAAAGACCTAGATCTGAACTTAAAAGCTTGGAACTGCTCAGGATCAGGCCAATGAAAAGTCTATAGCACTTGTTTACTATTTTTATTTTGTATTTATGTTTTCTCATAAAAATAAAACCACGTAAACCAATCCCTGAGCAGGGTTGCTGTTTTTTTGTGGAAGACGCTGGATTGTCTGGCCTCAGAAGATGGGGTGTGATGTTGGTGCCCAAAGGGCAACCTTTGAGGGGAGAGCTGGGCCACCTGTGGGGGAGAAGAAAGGACTGCTCCCTCGCAGGGCAGGCAGCATCTCAGCTCTCCACTGCAGCTCCAGACAAAAGAGAGCAAGGAGCAGCAGCTGGTCTTGTGATGTGAGCACATTGGGAAGTGGAGTGTGAGCCCCAGCTATTTTCAGAACAGCTCTAAGCATGAAGCTTTTTAAGCTTTCAATTCCTACTCGTTTAAACTAAAAGGAAAAAAAATCCTGCTGCTGCTTGGATCGGCCCCAACCTGACCAATACCCTAATCCTTTCTGCCAACCATTTATTTTTTTTGAAAAGTGTATTCAAGCTGGGGACAAACATTTTCACCGATGCAGTAGAACTGAACCTGCAAAAATAATGACTGCTAAAGGAAACTGTCCAGACTAATTGCTAGTGGAGAAATTTGCCTAAGTTACTTGATTGCCAGGGAGGATTTTCAATATTTTGCAGATTTTTTTTTTGCAAGAATTTCAAGCTTTTCTAACAAACTGTAGCTTTAAAAATGAAGAAAAAAACATCTTCAAAGCCTTCATTTTGCAGCATTCTTGCCAGCTGGGTTGAGATTAACAAAAGCTCCTTGCCACCCTCCCATTGCTAGGCACATGCTGAGCTGGAAAAGGGGTGTCTGTGGGCTTGGCCTTTGTCCTGCTAAACGAACCATTTCATAGTTATGAATTTGAAATAACCTGCAGTTCATACCCTGCAGATCTGGTTAGATCCTGTCTGTGCAAAGAAGGGAAATGCAACAGGCAGAGGGAAAAGGAAGCTCAATCAGTCACGTTTGCTGCAGGATGTTTAAGGAAATGTTTCCTTTTCCTGCACAAAGATGTTTGTTGGGCATCTGCTCTTTAGAACATACTGAAACATTTTACTCTAGAAGTGAGAGAGCTGTGTAACTCCAGATTTTTATTTAAAATCTATTCTCTGATCAAATATTATGCAAGGAATTTGTTCTTTTTCCTTGGCCATCTTTCAAACCCCAAATGCAGGTCTCATCCTGACTGATTCATCTCTCTGTAATGCTAAAAGAGAATCCTGCCTGTCAGAAGCCACATGCCACATGTAAGTGCCATATTCATGCATATGTTCAGCAATATCTCTTAATGCAGTGTTCAGCATCAGATGGTACCCACAATGCATCCCTTTTTGTGTGTGTACTGAAGAAGAAAATCATTAATTAAGTACACGTGTTTGAGGATTTGCTTTTATAAGTCTGCTTGGTAAGAGACAGCAAATATTCCTGCTGTATTAGATTAATTGGGAGAGGGCAGATGAATCCAGGACAAATACTGCCTTTGTTATCTGTGGCCTGATTGTGATAGGACAAATCAGTCCAAAAGCAGAGCCTCAAGAGGGTCTCGTATTTATATTTTGGAAATAACCGAGTCCTGTCACTCTTACTCAGATCAAACCTTTGTGTGTGTCTGTGCGTGTGACTGCTCCAGACTGTTCTTGCTGACTCTCTGCAGGAACAGGCTCTCTGTTTGGAAACCCCTTCTCCCCACTACAACCTTCGGTTGTAAGAAAAGGACAATTTCAACCCCTGCGTCACCGATAAAACCTCCCATGGCAACAGTGGGGGCTCTGCAGTTGCTTGGATATACAAGCCTTGCTTCACCTTTGCTTTTTCTTAGCATCACAGTCTGTTTTAAAAGTTACATAAAAGATGAACATATGGATGAGCTTGGATGTTAAACATCCTGAATAGAGTTAATTGATACATTTACTGAAGTACTGCCTTTGGCTTCTTGATTTGAGAACAATGGGATCATACAGCATGGGGAACTGTACCTACAGCACTAACCAAAGCAAAGAGCAGGCCTCGAAACCACTATCTGCTGTTTTGGTTTCAGTCTACAAAAGGAAAAAAAGGAAAACCACACCTTGCTCCACAACCTACAGCCTTTTCAGCAAGGCACACAAATCTCATTACATCAATAAAGGAGAGTAAATGACAAGACCACCTCCAATACCCAGGACAGAACAGTACAAAAGGACTTTGACCAACTAGAAAACCAGGCAGAACATAAAATAAGCTGCATTTTGTCCTTTGAAACTCCTCAGAGCATCCTGAATGGCCAGGGACGCTCACACTGACTAAAGCCCTGGCAGCAGCTGGCAGGGCATTCAGAGCAGGTACAGGGTGTTCCCGAGGCCCAGCTGACACGTCATTCACACAAGTTACAATTTCTCTGGGGCAAAATAGGCTTGGTTTAGGCAGGCTGAAGTGCCTCAGTGCTGTTATGGCCAGCAGTAGTGGTGGATCCATCCCTTCCTACACCTCAGCTCCAAATGCAGGGAGGTTCCCTCCTGGTGGATCCTCCAGTCCGGCAGTTTGCAGGACTCAGGGAGGAGCTCTGGTGTACACAAACACAGCAAGCGAGATGAAGCCAGCTCGTGTTTATTTACAGTGGAGAACAAAAGTAAATGTTTAAAATACCTGATTTTTCCAGGCAAACAGCAGATAACCCCCTCAAGAGTGACTCAGATCCAGTGAGCAAGCTGTGAACTCGGTGCCAGTTGTAACACCCTGTGCATCACCGGCTGTGTCCTGCAAATGTTCCACGTGGGCACATCTTAGGTCTTACACATCCTAGCACCAGCTGTGCTAGAATGAACATTTTTTTTAAGATAAGCAGAAGATTTCCATGGGTTGAACAAATGCACTAAAAGCTAGGAGATGCACAAAACCAGATCCTACAACAACAATTTTAATCTGGTAGCAAAAGTAGTTTGCACTTTGGATTTCAGCTACGTCTGTCCTAAAGTTTCAGCCAAAGCAGGTTATCTGACAGAGCCCAGAGTGGCATTCCTCTTGATCTCTTACCAGGAACTGTGACAGTTAATCTGACCACATGTGGGTACCTGTGGGCTCTATTCCCACTCTCAGACACGTTCTGAGCTGAATCCATCCCTCTCTGTTACACTCATACACAACTCATTAACATTAACTGTATTTGTTATCAGAACACTTCCACAGAAGGTTAAACCCTTAGAGAATTTAGGCTTGGGCACAAAAGATCATTCAGGAAAGAAAAATAGGCACTTCTTGACAAGAGCATATGTGAAAGCTCAAAATGGTACAATTCACTTTCAGTATAGCTTCACATATTTGAGGGATGGGGGAAAAAACCAACAATCAGTTCTTATCAGGGCTAACAAGTGCCTAGCACGGCAGAATTCCTGCACCGTGTGTATTTTTAGATTACTCTTCCAGTTTTCATGTTCTGTCCTTACTGTGTATCTTTTGTTAGAATTAGGATATCTGCTGCAGCAGCCTGGATAACCTTTAGCCCCAGCTACAAAACCTTTAACAGTTTCCAATTATAACAGCAATCTTTCATTCTATAATGCAAATAAACCCAAATGTTATCTCCACACAGAAGACTCACCAGAATAACCAATGACTGTAGAATGCTTTCACCATTTTTTTCCTCTATAATTTCCTGCTATTATTTCACTGGAGGTGACTGCCAAGATCCAAGCAACATAATACATTTCACTGTTTACATTTACTTTATTTTTGTTATACTGTTGGCATTTTAAAATGTTGACATGCAATACTGAAGTTTTAAAAATTTAGCATCTACTTGAATCCATTAGGTTCTTGGAACCTCAAGTTATTTTTCAGCTGTCCCATTTTCTCCTGATTTTTTTGTCCTGTCCAGTTGAGAATATCTATGTGCCCAAATACCTGCCAATTTTATAAAAGTCTTAACTCCTACAGACTGTGCCATGGGGGAGAGGTTCTTGTTGTTCAAAAAGATATAAGACACACTGATGTCTTTTTTCAGATATATGGAAATAATTTCTCCATGTAATGTCTGTAACAAAGTGGATTGAGCAGCAATGTAGAGAAAGAGCTATTTCCATTGGGTGGTTTTAGAAGAAACCAGACAAAGGCACTACTAAATAGATACTGGATTTTCCCAGAAGCCAAAATCATACTAAGAGGGTAGGGGTAAAATGCTGCTGTTTGGATAACATTAAAAGAGACCCCTTGTCTCCTTGGGGTTATTAATGACCACGACTGTCCGAGTCATCCATGTCATCATTAGAGTGTCCCCCTGGAAGGAAAGCATTATCCATGGCATCCTGCCCACATTCCTCCAGAGCTGATTACATTCTTTGTAACTGCACTCTTAGTTCAGTCCAGCAATCCTGCCCTCACACCTGGACACTGTCTGGGCTCATTTCATGCTGCCATCTGCCAGAAAGGCTGATCATCAGTCCCTTTGTCTCCTGCCTCTCTCGCAAGGGGGTAGATTTTTTGGCTTGCTGTCTGCAAAATGCATTTGCAGCCTTGCAGCAATGGCTTTTGGCAGATTGCAGCGCAAGTATTGAGCTCCACTGGTGTAGAAAACAAGTCCACATCAAAGGTGGGGTGGGAGGGGACAGTAAGTTGTAAGACAAAGTTTTTTCCCCTCAGTTGTTACCCAGGAATTTGTACCCTGAAGAAAAGGCCAAACTGCAATTCTTCTCCTGAACCAAAATCTCTTAGGCCTGTCCTGCCCCGATCCTGCATTGTGTCCCTTGTGTAAGGAAAGGACAGGGATGGGCATATCAAACATGTGCACACAGACACCTCAGCCACCCCGGAAAGTTCTAGAGTCACAAGAGTAACAGAGAAGGCTCCAGACAGAACCGAAGCACAATTGTCTCAGAAAAGATGTAACAGCAGGCAAAGAACACAAATGATGGAACCCAAGGGAACAGATCCCATAGGATCAGTCATGGACCAGCCACATTCTGTCCCCTCCCTTGCTCTGGCACATGTGCTGCAAGGAGGAGACCAGCTGGCTGAGAGCAGACCCAGCAGAAGAATAAGCAGAGGTTTTCTTTGTCTGGCCACCATCTGACCACTCCACACAGTAACACGGGCAGGCAG